TATTTAAAATCTTCCTTTAACCTTTCAGGGGAAATATAGCAAAAGGAAGAACCGCTTCAAACGCTCTGATGGCAGCACCTCCTCTGATACGACTTCAAATAGTTTCGTCAGGCAGGTAAGAGCAGGGAATGGGAATCATGCTTCAAAGGGAGGGAGGGAGGGAGGGCAGGACAGAACTGTAACATTTATAAGCAAGCGGATTAATATCATCTTCCTTTAACCTTTCAGGGGAAATATAGCAAAAGGAAGAACCGCTTCAAACGCTCTGATGGCAGCACCTCCTCTGATACGACTTCAAATAGTTTCGTCAGGCAGGTAAGAGCAGGGAATGGGAATCATGCTTCAAAGGGAGGGAGGGAGGGAGGGCAGGACAGAACTGTAACATTTATAAGCAAGCGGATTAATATCTGTGATATACTGTACTATGAACTCCTTATCCATTCAGGGCATTTGGAAGAATTTTAATGGCAGCGTTTCCTATGGTGAATTCATGATTGTCTCCCTCCAGTGGACATTTTTTTTTTAACAGCAAGCTTGCTATTTTCATCATTGCAAACACCAGGAAGAGGAAAAAAAGTGGATAAGGTTTCCAAAACTGTATGGGATGGGGATTCTTTACCAAGGACACTGCCCTTTCCTCTCTGCCAGGGTTTAGAGCCTGTGCTCCATCCTTTCACTCATCAGCAATCCCAGATATTTATTCTCACTCCCTCTTATCCATTTCCTTGATAAGGAGTTTAGATTTCCCTTTCTCTGTCCCAGGATTTTATCTTCAACCCCTTTCCCTAAAAATATTTTATATTCCTTGCCATCTACTCTTGCTTCCATTTGCTGATGGGAAAATCTACCCTTTCCCCCTGTGTAATATCCAGTTCAGTGGGCAGGGCTCTGTTGAAGGAACAAAGACATTTCTATGTTAGACAGGGCAAGCTAAGTCTTTAATGCTAAAGATTCCTGCTGGGTCTCCTTATGTGAAGGGCACAAAGAACAAAGCAGCAGATGGCAACTCAGGCAGGTGGTTGTTGGATACATCGACTACAAGGCTGTTTCTGGGAGCAAGCCTTTCTGAACTCAGTGGAATATACATCGTAGGAAAAATCTAGACTTGCACTATTCAAACTCTGAAGCTAGAGGATTTCCATCAGGGTTTCCCAAACTTGGGTTCCCTGGTGTTTTGGACTTCCCCTCCCAGAAGCCCAGCCAGGATGCCCAAAGGGCAGGAATTCAGACAGTTACGGTCTAAAAACATCTGGGGACCCAAGACTGCAAACCTGTGATAGGTTCTAAGTATTTTTAAAAGGCAAATGCAGTTGGTGGTTGGACTGAAGCAGCTGAGAAGGACCATTGGCTTTTCATTCCAGCCCACAGCCGGTGTCTGTTATACAGGGGTGAAAACTTTGGTCCTACTAGATTTATGGACTAGGTAAAGGTAAAGGTTCCCCTTGACAATTTTTGTCCAGTCGTGTTCGACTCTAGGGGGCGGTGCTCATCCCCGTTTCCAAGCCATAGAGCCAGCATTTGTCCAAAGACAATCTTCCGTGGTCACATGGCCAGTGCGACTTAGACACGGAACACTGTTACCTTCCCACCGAAGTGGTCCCTATTTATCTACTTGCATTTGCATGCTTTCAAACCGCTAGGTTGGCGGGAGCTGGGACAAGCAATGGGAGCTCACTCCATTGCATGGATTTGATCTTACGACTGCTTGGTCTTTTGACCCTGCAGCACAGGCTTCTGCGGTTTAGCCAGCAGCGCCACCACGTCCCTGATTTCTGGACTACAGCTCCCATAATCCTTTAACATTAGCCCTGCTGGCAGGGGCTTGAAGGAGTGGAAGCCCAAAACATGCAGTGGCTCTGAATGCCTGCAATAAATGGCGGATGGCCCTGCTATCCACAGATTCTCTAAGACAGAAAAATCTTAGAAGGGTCTCAGGACGTTAATGATGAAACATAAGCCATTTCTTTGTATCTCTCAATTGTTGAGGCTTTTAACCCATCACTGCTTGTTAGCACGGTTTCACTTCACAGCTAATCATGTTGAGGCAAAGGAGATCCGTGGGCTGTAGTCTGACTCTCTGTTTCCCCTCTCATGATTGCTGAAGGATGGAAAGTGTGAAAGGAACAATGAAAGGGAGCAAAAATCCGAAAGAATAACTTTTCCCACTTCTGAACAAGATATGCAATAATTTGCCCAGTTTTGTTCTATTTACCTTTGAAATCTAGGTCAAAAAAAGGCATGACTTGTTTCTTCCTCTGCAGCCTGTTTTAATGCCCCATCATTTCAGCTACTCTTGTTAGTTCCTTAGCAGATTAAAAACAAACAGAAACCTCTTCATGTATTGCCTAGGGAAGCAAAGAGGTTGCCATAGCAATACTCCATCTGGTGGAGTGTCTGGAGGGCAGCATTAAAGAAGCAACATACAGTACTCCTTGCAAAGCAGATTTTGGTAAAAAGAGATACAAGTCATGCAGAAGACATGTCTTGGCATCTGCTGGTGACCACTCCGAGGTTGTTCCCACAGGATTTTTCCTATAGTGTGGGTTGCTGTGTTAGTCTGTCGTAACAAAAGCAATCAACAGTCCTATGGCACAATAAAAACTAACCAGTTTTATTGAGTATAAGCCGTTGTGGTATGCAATATAAATCCATGGTCTTCTGCATAAAAAGCAGCAGGTGTCTGGGATTAGATACATAGGCAAATACAGGAATAGGTGATACCTTAAATCAACCATTTAGAATATAAAACATATGCAATTGTATTTGGAATCGATTTCTGGTCTTTACTGATATTAGAAAAAGAGAGGCCATATTTACTTACTTACTTACTTACTTACTTACTTACTTACTTACTTACTTACTTACTTACTTACTTACTTACTTACTTACTTACTTACTTACTTACTTACTTACTTACTTACTTACTTACTTATAGTAGGACCCTGGTATCCTTGGGGAAATCAGTTTCAAGCCCGCCCCGCAGATGCTGAAAAATGCTGAACGCTATTTTAATAATGAATGCTATACATAGCATGGTCTCTGGCTTTCTCTAGTGGCCTGTTCTGGTAACCTCTTTGTTAAAACTATATATTTGGGGGAAATTTTCTTTTAATATTTTAAATATTTTCAGACCATGGATAAGTGAATTAGTAGATACTGATCCCGCAGATAAAAGAGTCCTACTGTATTTGACTTATATACCGCCACATTAGTGCCAGAGCACTATCCTGGGTGGCTTACAAAAATAGAACAAAAACCCAAATAGAAGTAAAACTGTAATAGATAAAAACATTTTGGACCAATAACAAATAAATCAGATAGCAGCAGAGGTGATTTTCCCATAATGGCCGGATGAGAGTCAAAGAGTCAACTAGGGTTGGTGTGGAAGGCCTCCCTGAAAAGCTATGTTTTCAGTTGCCTCCTAAAGGTCAGCACAAAGGAGCCAGGCCCCTTTCTCTTAATCCTCTCTGTGGTTGCTCTCTGGCAATGTTTTCTGTGTCCAGGTTATAATGCAGAACTTAGGACCCGGGAAAACTTGCTTTTTGAGCTACAGCTTCCAGATATGCAACATGGCCACTTGCCATGATGGCTGGAAAATTCTGAGCACTGTAATTTAAAAAGTAACGTTTTTCAGTTCAGAAATTACTGTTGCAGAGTTCATAAGTTGGCTTTACAGTTACATTTTAAGCTTACCATATATTCTTCTGGCCACTTCTGATATTCTTTAGTCTTTGTACCACCTACACACATAAGCGTGTATGCACTCTTTTATTTGGAATTTGAATTCTGTATAAATTCCATAGAAAAGTGTAATATTAAGCAAAACTGTGATAATTAAGCAAATATGGAATATTTTGTATTAAATCATTCTTCGTCAAAGATCAAAGATTTTGCATCTTTTTGGATGAGGACATGCAGGACATGGGGAAAGAAAGGGGATGAGTGATAAGTGGGTTCCAGGGAAAGAATGGAATTGAAGAACTGTACTATAGTCTGTTTCATCTGCAGCCCTACCTACTCTAAAGACGTTTTGAAATTCACAGAGGCATAGGTAATGTTATGCTTAAGCAACCCTCTTCTCTTAACACCAAACCAAATCCACACTGAAATTTAAAATTTTAGCCATTGTCCAATGGATTGTTTTTGGTTGCTATTGAGAATTCATCAGGTCCTGCTCATGGTTTGTGTGTTTTTAGATTTTTAACTCCAACTATGGGCATACAGTGGCCAGAATCCCATTGTTTTCCCCATAAGATATTTGTAACCTGTTTCAGCTAACTAATAAGGTGTTGGGGTGCATTATAGCTGCACAGTCAAGCATGTGAGAAGTCGTGCAGCTGAGATGCACCCTGGCACCTTGCCACTTAGCTGCAATTAACCATGGTAAGTTATGCAGACCTTGTGCGAACACCAATAGGATTCTGGCTACTTTATTTTAAAACATACAAATAGACAGATCATGATGAAAGCTGATAGCACCATTTATGTGGAATTAAAGGCTGGGGGACCCATGACCCTCTGAGTATTATTTGACTCTCCTTCCCATCAGTTCTTCTCAGCATAATCAATAATGAGAAATGATGGGATTTGTAGTTTATCAATACATCCAAGGCCTGCTCTACAGAAACCTTCAAGGAAAAAGTGGGGGGGCTGGTGGTCCTCCAGATACTGCTGGACTCCTGCCACTATCCCACACCTCCAACAGCTGGAGAGAGCCATTGGTTCCTACCTCGTTTTTAAAATGTATTTTAGCTTGAACTTTTTCAGGATGAAAGTGCAAGATTGCCAACCGTGGAGGCAGGGGCAAATTTGCCTATGATGTAACACTGAGTCTAAGTTTTAATATATATTTTTCAGTGTTAGGTGGCAAAGATAGGGGAAGAAATCTGTGAAGGTCCCATTGCTCTGGTCTGATAATGACGTGGTTCTATGCTGTGTGAGACACTGTTCAGAACCTTTATAATGAGTGATTCCATCCAAGACCTGATGATATTTTTGTCCCTGAATACACACAGCCTATTGCAAATGTATGACGAAAAAGATCGGGGAATGGAAAGTGTGCTGAAGGGGGAGGGGTTGGAGTCTGTGACCTGGACTTGTGTTGCCATAGTAATG